CTGCTTTGGGTAAAGCAAATTGAACTACTTGACCTATTATGAACAATAAGCAAGAGTGGAATGGTGTTGAGTCCTACAATATACCAACTATCAGTGGGGCTAGGACTGTTATTGAGAGGTCCCGAAAAACAGAACTGTAGTCAAAGGCACCACCTTTGCCAGTGTCGATTTGAGATCCGAGAGAGCCAAGATACTCAATTATCAAGGATGGAGAAATGAAGACACCGATGATATTTCCAATGACTGCATTCATAAGGGCGATAGATTCATTCCCGCTGGCCTGCTTCGTCATGAGAACGTTTGACGAAATGGTTGTCGGTGTAGACGTTGCAATTATCAGCCTATAAACAGGTAAGTTTGAAATAACAACCAAGAAATAACCCACCCCGCGACTAGGTTTGGATCAAAACCACCGAGGAGAAGTAGTCGAGCAATCGAATAACCAAATGCCGGCGCAAATCCAAGCGAGATTATTTGAATGACTGTTGTAAAGACATTTAGTTGTTGCGCCCACGGTAATTGAAGATGACACAGTACCGAGGTGGTATCGCCAACTTATTAGTGCTTGGGCGAGGACTCTCGTTTTTAAAGACATTCCTGATATAATGAAGATGAAGGCGACCACGCCATACTTGACAGTGTATTCTGCAAAAACATGTCAACGGCAACCAGAGAATGTGACTTGACGTTGCTCACCAGCACGAATCAGGCCACCCTTTTTACCGAGAGGAGGATACGCTAATGCAAGCAAAATTGCTACTATGAGGCCCTACAATAGTGCAAGCGGATTTTGTCAATCATAGAGAGTCTCAAATCATCTTTGCCAACCTCCAAGAACCAGTGCTTTATGGCGAGGTCCTTCGCCTTCTTCCAAAACGATAGCCTTGTAACAGTTTCCGGCTTCTTGCTCTCCGTTGCAGTTGTGGTTCCACCAGCGGTCGAGGATGGTGCAGATTGGGTGTGAGAATCTTGAGAATGCATTAAAGATTCAGAGGAACCAGCCGCGGCCCCATTCGACGAGATAACATCCAAGTCCTGAGTGCCGCCCATTTGAGCCTGTGTTGAATCGGGGGAGTCTCGCAGCGGCAAAAGGAACAGCTATTTGTATGCCAGACGTTCTTGGCAGGCTCGGTTGTCGGACCCGACTTCAGTTTTTATGTGATTGCGCCATTCCATTTTATGTGGCGGATCAACTGTCGTTGGTCTATCTTCCAAGATCTCAAGATTCGATCTGCGTGAGGAATCTAGCTCGTGTCATGCTTCGCAATTTCTGCGAATTTATTCGCACTTTCGAAACTGATGTTTTTTTCGATCTATTTAATACGTAACTTGAATTCGCTGTGTGGCTTCGCTTTCCTGTCAGAAAATTGTTCATTCCTTTTCTTCATGCCAACTAAGTCCGCCAAACGCAAGGCAGAACAAGCCGTTGGCTTGGATGACGGGGACCGTGAAAATAAATCCGACAGAACAAAGCGAAGGGAATTGCTATCAGCTGCGAATGGTGCTGGTTCGGACGATTCTGGGGTTGACTCGGCACTCGATGGGTCAAGTGACGATGAACAGGAGGAGCTGCATGAACGTTCATCACGAGCACCTAAAGGAAGAAAAGCACTGTTCTTGAGAGGGATGCATGAGAATCACGATGACGATAGTGACGTTGACGCTGATCAAACTGCCGAAATTGAGAAGAAGCCGGTGGCAGACATTGTATCTTCTGAATATAAGTACAAACAGCGCGTTATGCTATTGTCTTCTAGAGGAATTGGTCACAGGTATGTTGATTGCACTGATCACGTTGTACGCACTTAACAAACCTGCATCAGATTCAGGCACATGATGAACGATTTAAGCGCCATGCTGCCACATTCAAAGAAAGGTGAGTAAGTGAAGAATTATCTTCAATTTCTGTTAATCCTTTGACAGACAACAAGCTCGACGTTAAGGCGAATGTCCAGATCATCAACGAACTTGCGGAACTCAACAATTGCAATAACTGCATTTTTTTCGAGGTTCGCAGACATGAGGATCTCTATCTGTGGGTATCGCGCACACCGAACGGCCCCAGCGCACGTTTCTTTGTTCAAGACGGTATGGAGCTATGTCCCCCAGTAAAACTGTTCTTACGTGCTTACGTGTAGTACACACAATGGAGGAACTAAGGATGATCGGCAACTGCCTGAAAGGCTCGCGGCCAATCGTCTCCTTTGACCAGACGTTCGACACCACCCCTCAATATAAGCTCATCAAGGAGCTGTTCACTCAGGTTTTCAGCACGCCTCGCACCTCACGTAGAATCAAACCTTTCGTCGACCATGTTCTCAGTTTCTCTGTTTCGGATGACCGGATCTGGTTCCGAAACTACCAGATTGTTGAAAAGGAAGGACCCGGAAGCGAAATATCTCTCGTCGAAATCGGCCCTCGTTTTATGCTAACCATTGTTCGAATCTTTGAAGGGAGCTTTGGCGGACCCACGTTATATCATTCTTCATCGTTCGTTTCACCCGCGCAGGTATGAACAATAAGAGCGAAGTATTCAGATGTGTTTGATTTGACTTTACGATAGGTTCGGGCGATGGCGAAGCGTCAGCAACGAGGGAAGTACATTAGCCGACAAACTTCTGTTGCAAAAAGAGAGGAGAAAAACACTTTGCTCCCTGATGACGGTCTTTCCTCTGTGTTCAAAGAATAGATTATCTGTGGGAGCGTTGATTTATTTCCTTGCGAGACCAAGTTAAATGTTATTGAACAGTGCACATGTTTTTTTGTTATTTTGAAAAGATTTGATTACAGCAATTGCGTTCCAAAAAAATACGACATCACAGGTGTAGAAATAATTGAACTATGAACGTGGGAGGCATCCAATTTGGGCTATTGCGAAGACTTCGCCTTCTTTGCCTTTCCTTTTGCCTTGTTGCTCTTGTTCTTGTTCTTCCGGCCACGACGGCGAGTTTTTCTGGTTGTGGTGGTGGCAGCCTCAGTGGTTGTTGCAGCATCCTCCGCAGCCGTACTAGTGGCACCATCAACCGTCGTTGTCGCTGTGGCAGGGGCGGTCTCTGTTGCAGCGTCTGTTGCAGCGTCAGTTGCAGTGCCTGCTCCATCACCAGGTGTTGTTCCATTATTAGCATCACTTCCAAATCCTGCTGCTCCGTTGTTGAATAAGATTCTAAGCACAGATTTTCAATAAACGGTTCAATGACAAATCTATAGGCCTACTTGTTTGGTGTGTTTCGTTTAACGTTCCTGATCTTTCCAGCGGTTGCAATATTGAGTAACGTACTGATTACGTTATCGGCTCCACCGTTAGGATTTTCTGCGTAAATGAGCGCAGCGACACCCTGCAAGTGAATTGTGAATTAAACAAAGTTCTAGACAGTTCGGACTTTTCTTTCGTACAGCAACATGCGGAGTGGACATGGATGTCCCCGATATGATGTTGGTGAGGCCGTTGTCACCAGGTGTTGCGCCGTTTCCAATCCAGGTGCTCTGAATGTCAACTCCTGGGCCTGCAATATCGACGCAGGTTCCAAAGTTAGAGAACGCGGGCATTTGATCTGTACGAGGATCAATGGCGGCAACGGTGATGGCAGAAGCGACATTAGCAGGGCTTGTATTGCATGCGTCTTGTCCTTCGTTTCCTGCAGCAACCACCGCAACAATTCCGTTTGCTTTCGCTGTGTCAAGGGCGCGTGTGGTTACGGGGTCATCGCCTTGACCTCCCAGCGACATGTTGATGACAGAGGGCCGACCAGAAGCCTTCGCAGCAGAGATTGCGAACTCGATCCCAGAAAGGACAGTGTCGCTTGAACCGGCGCCAGATGCATCGAGCACCCGAACAGCGATCAGGTTCGCTTTCTTTGCAATGCCAAAGGTTTTCGATCCGATTGTGCCGGCAACGTGAGTACCGTGTCCGTTACCGTCACCTCCTTGCCCGTTGTTCACGAAAGACTTGCCGAGAGTTGCCCGTCCTTCAAACTCAGTGTGTGTTGTCTTGATTCCAGTATCAATACTAGTGGGTGAGCAAGAGTCAGTTGTGTAGAGACACAAACAAATTTCAAAACTTACACGTAGGCATCTACTCCTTGGCCGGCTGACGAAGGGAAGCTGTAGGTTGTCCCACCCCTGTTGGCACTTGATGTACGCTGACGATTGTCTGGTTAGCACATGCTTGTTTCAAGGAATGATCGCAAACTTACTGCCAATCCAGGAACTGCGTTGTTCTCGACGTCTGTCACCTTGTAATCAACGCTCTCCATGACGGTATCGATGTTGTCGCGATCGGCCACCTCCAGCGCCAGCTCTTCAGGAGCGGTCAATGCATATGCGTTCCAGGTAAGAAAGTCGTACGATTTGGTAACAGCAGTTGATGCCTCTTCGTATTCCGACGAAACGAACTTGTTCTGTAGCCAAGCCTGATGTGCTTCCTTGTCAGCGTCAGTGGCATAAACGACGATGTAAGTTTTGGAATCAGCGCTTGCATCTCGACGGTTAAGGCTCCTCTTGTGTGTGTTAGGAATAAATTTCCCAGCATCGCAAACCGCAACAACTGCAGCCAGCGCAAACAGATAACAGGTTGTCCTCATGTTTCGCAATTGAAATGGGTGTTGAATCTCCGTGATCTGCTTTTGATCTAAGGATGGCTACTCAATTTAAGCTTGAACGAATGAATGTCACATCCTGCGGCATGCCCATGAAACGAGCAAAGTTTTGTGATTTCAAAAAATTTTGTATTTTCGAACCTTCATAAAGCTGGGCTGCCAAGGGCGCCACAGTAATCAAGCGGTCACCCTCCCAAACGGATGAAACATCATTGTGACATTGTTGTTGATTAACAAATTGCTCTCAAAGATTTGATACCAGTGTTGCCTTCAGGAGTACCCTCCACTTGAAATAAGTACGTTGAGCATCAAGGAAAACGGCTATGTTGTGGTAATGTTCTGGTTACGGACATTCGCACATAACTGCAAAGGCAACAATGAGAACCCCATGAAAAAACGAAACGGCTCCCGCGGGAAGGCTCGAACTTCCAACCTCCTGGTTAACAGCCAAACGCGCTAGCCAATTGCGCCACGCGGTATATTCCTTATTTTTAGGTCCGCCTGATGATGTCCCCCTACCTCTTGACATTGCAATTTGATATGCTTCACCACAGCCTTTTTATCCTTCCCCTGCTTTTTCCCAGTGGGTTCTTGTTCTTCGTGCACTTAACCGCATTTGGTCAAACTGTCTTGGTTATGAGTTAGTTTTGTCTCCAGCTCCTGATTCTATCTTGTCTGCCTTTGTTGATTTGGATATGCCTTAGTGTTTTGAAACATTATACTTTTCCTATGGCTCGCACGGCTCCCCATGTGCTGCCAATTTACGTGTATTTTTACACTTGTATTTGGATTTTGCACCAGCAGGTGATATGTATTGGTTGGACAATAGATACATATTAAGAAGTTCAAAAAAAGAAATTAATACTAATGAAATTTCTTGACTATCATCATTTGCACCTGAGAAATTTCTCCCCCATGATCATTTGCACCTCACCTCCGGTTATCCATCGCAACTGTGAGCCTTGTACCTCTGCTGCCCTTCTTTTCACCTCTGCTCCTCTCTCCCTTAGCTCTCCATTGACCCTCTCACCTGCTTCTCGTCTGAGCAGTCTGCTGACTAGCAGGGGCTACTCCTCTGCTCATCCCTTATCTCTCTCACTTGCCTCTGCTCAGAGGGTCACACGAATGAGTTTTAAGATCTCTGATTTCTATTTTGCTTTCCCCTCCGACTTGCGCGCTTCCCTACGTGCTGGTCCATGACCATCTTGTAAGGCACTTTGGGCGTTGTTTTTTGTTATGTATTGCATATGCAAAATAATAGATAATATTTTTAAAAAAAAACTTCAATGTGCTGGTCCATCACAAACTTGTAAGACACTTTGGGTGTTGTTGTTTGTTATGCATTGTATGAGCAAAATAAATAAACAATCAAAATAAATTTTAAGAAAAATCTGCCTCTTTATCTCATTGTCAGAACTAACCCTGATGACATAGATTTGTTTTCTGCCACCCTGGGCAAGCCCAACGTGGGTTGAAAATTTGTGAAGATTTTGCTTTAGCTCTCATTTTGTGTTTTGCCTTCAAAGTGTGCAGTTTTGTCGTCTCAGCGGTTGCCACCCCCTTGATGCTTCATGGCTCAGCCCTCGCTGTCAAGGTTCCATTTAGGCCATTAGGCACTATTTTACTATTGCAGGGTTTGATCTTGCTGCAACTATTGATCATTGCTCAGATAAAGCTCGTTCCTCATTGCATCTTTTTGCACCTTATGTCTTTTACTTTGGTGGGTCTGCTCCTCATGTTGCCAGGTTGTCGTTTCTGTCTTTTACTCAACCTTCACTTGAGATCACTTTCGAGTTGTGCATCGTATTCCTCTACAGGAGATACGGAAGGTAAACTCGGAGATGATTCTTCAGTACTGGATTGTGCAGTCGATAAATCAGCATTTGGATCATAATCAGCATCGTCTGGGTCATCATCGTCTAGTCCATGTAAATGTTCAACAACATGCATGTCCGGCTTCTTCTAAGCGGTAATATATGGGGTCGTTGTGTTGAACAAAGCTGTGGTCTGGATCCTCAGGTTGTGTGTGTTGCTAATTCACGGGTTAATGTTTCTAAGAGATGAATAAAGAAGATTGCGAGTCACAAGTACTAGCGCAAGAGAATGCTCCTTGTGTGTATCGCCACAGGCTCCTTAAATAAGTTGTACTGTCGTTTTGGCTTTTCCTTCCGGAAGATCTGGATCGAAGCGATAAGGTTTGACTCTTCTTCTCACAGGCGTAGCGAAGCATAATCATGCTAAGCTGTGCGTGAGATCTAGCTCTCCTCAACAGGATTGTTCCCACACATGATTCCCACGAACGCGTTAATCATATGTAAACCTTTGCTGTGATCTGATCCGGGCTTCACTTCTACAAGTGGATGATAGAAAAGTAATGACAGTTTACTATACCTATGGCCGCAATAAATATAACCCATGAAGAAATAACTGGAGGTATCCAAACTCGTAATAGATCATCATCTATATGCTTTAGTTCAATAGTTAGAAATGTTGCTCAGTGAAGAGTGACATTTCTGTATATCGGGCGTTTGTGTTTTTGTACTATCAATGACTGGATTGGCCAAGTCCATCAATCGAAATACTTAACACACCCCCTCAGTCATTAGATAGGTACAACCGAGAGTATCACTCAACCGATCATAACTTTCTGTAAATGCTGAAGTTGATATTCTATTGAAATAAAGGTGAGTTGTATGGACATCGCCAGCCGGTCGTTCAAGATAGTATATTAAGTGAAGACTGACTGACTAGCCCCAACGAGCCCCTGTGTTTAAGGTATAATTTACTTCCAAGAGGTTTAGTTAAGATGTCCGCGATCATATCAGAAGTATCCATATGGTGTAACTCCTGATGTTTCTGTTCAACTTGGAGATTCACAAATCTCTCGCGAACGTCCATGTGTTTGGTCCGTTTGTTGTTGAACAGATTGTTTGCGATAGACTCGGTGGATCGATTGTCTTGCCATAAACGGAGCGGATTGAACGACGTAATTCCAATACCCGTCATAAGATTTTTCATCCACTTCATCTCACGCGATAGTTCGTTCAGCGCATACAGTTCGGCTTCCGACGACGAGGCTGCAATAGTCTGTTGTCGAATCGACTGCCAACTGATTGCCGCATTAGCGAACATTACCACGTAACCGGTTCGTGAGTATCTATCTGCATCGCCCGCCCAGTCTGCATCGGCATAACCTTGTGGGTTGTTAGCCGAATCAAACATGTAGAGACCGTCGGGTCTTAGCATCGGAGACGTGATACCAGTCCGTGTATAGTGTAAACCGTAATCCCAAGTACCGAGTAAATATCGTTGTAATCGATAGAGAGCCTTTGATTCTGACTGTCGAGGATCAATCTGATGTTGTGCCAAAATATTGACTGCGTATGAAATATCCGGTCGTGTCTTAGTCGCCACGTACGATATCTTCATTAACATTGATCGAAATTGTGTTGCCTCGGCATCGGACAGTGTTGGTGTGGTCTCATCAAAGATATATGATTTTGACATCGGTGTTTTGGTCGGTTTGATGTTGGTACCCCATAAATTTGCTTCTTCGAGAATCTTCTTTACGTACAATGCATTGCTAAGGAAATATCCTTCCGTTGTCTGCAATAACTCCATTTTCAGAATCCATTTCGCCTTCGAAGTACTGCCTACTGTGAACGAAGTTTCCAAATCGGTCTGAAACCGATGATATGCGTTTGGATCTGTGGAAAAATGTAGTATATCATCGACATGAACGGTAGTGTGTTCGCGGGTATTATTTGTTGGATTGTATCGCCAGAAATGACAGATGTCTGCAATATTCCGCACGAAACCAACACTGAGATATTGTTTCCAAAGAGTTTTGTACCATTCTCGAGCTGCCTGGTGTAGACCGTACAGACTTTTGATAAGTCTGCAGACGATGGGTCGATTCTGGAAATCTACTCGTCCGAAACCATGAGGGAGTTCGACGTAGTTCTCTTCTTCCAGTATCGCATTGAGATATGCACCCTTGATATCAAACTGGAATATGATCATGCCGACTAATGCTGCTAATGCAATCAGAAAACGGATCGTGGACGTTTTCGTAACTGGAGAATAGGTTTCATCGAAATCCAATCCTTCAATCTGTGAAAATCCTCGTACGACCCAACGTGCTTTGAATCGAGTAATATTGCCATGTTCGTCAAGCTTATATGTGAAAACCCATTTGCCCGATAATAAATTCCGTCCATCAGGTAAAAACGTTTCGGCCCAAGTATTGTTGCCGACTAGTTGTGTAACTTCCTCCTTCATCGCCGCTAACCAGAATGGAGCCTCATCGGATCGTGATAAAGCCTCACGAAGAGTCTTTGGTGCAGTCCGTATATTTCCATTCGCAATTGGTTGTGTTGGATATGAGGAATCGGCCTTCAGGGTCCAATCGATATTAGGAACGGACCGGGTAAACAAGGAATTTTGTTTCCTTTTGGCGTTCGACAAATTTGCACTTGCTTGACGTTTTCGTTTTCTTGCTGCATACGCTTCGTCGACATCTTCTCCAATGAATTGAAGATCACTTTCGAGTTGTGCATCATATTCCTCTACAGGAGATACGGAAGACAAATTCGGAGATTCTTCAGTAATGGATTGTGGAGTCGATAAATCAGCATTTGGATCATAATCAGCATCGTCTGGGTCATCATCGTCTAGTCCATGTAAATGTTCAACAACATGCATGTCACCGGCTTCTTCTAAGCGGTAATATATGGGGTCGTCGTTTATATCCTCATCGATTTCTTCGTCTGCAACGGTAGAAATCGGGAAATTGTCTGAGGCAAACTCAACAGTCGTCTCTTGCACCCCCTGATCCCCGGTTGGTATTTGATCAACATCGAAATATGTCCCGGCCTTCAGTGGATATTGTACCGTAAGATCGTCGAGTAACTGTCGGGTAGGATTATAACCAACAAAAACTCCCTCGTGGAACGTAACATGGAAGTATTCGCCTATTGTGTTTGTCCGAAAATTGAGTGCTATGACGATCTTCAGGTCTTCACCCTTGTATCCGAGAAACAGACCTAGTTCAGACTTGTCTCGGATTCTGCGCGCCAACCTTTGTTCGTGTGAGATCCACAAACTAACGAGTGTTCCAAAGGCGTGGATAGTTGCCAAATCTATCTGCTTGTCAAGGTAAGCACAGTACGGAATCGCATTCACAGCTGAATGGAAAGTAGTGTTCTTGACGACCGCAGCGTATAGGATGGAGAGTTGCACGAATTGAAGTGTTTGTGGTAGTCCAGCTTGTAGCAGCATCGCGTCCGACATATACTTGATCGATTGTGTATTCCGCTCTGATAGACCATCGAGTTCCTTTACTGACGGAGGAGCTGGGTGGACGTGGATGCGAGGAATCTTGGTATTGCACCATTGGATCAACCGTTTAGTAATCAATTCTCCTGAATCGGAACGTAGTTCAGCAACGTGTAATGGGTGATTGCGATTTTCCACATCA